GGAGAAGCTCGTTATGTCTTTTTTCAGGTACCACATATTTTTTTAAGACTCAAACTGATTTTATGCTTCCAAAAAAAGAATGTGAAAGAACAACCCTCCTTTTCTTCCCTCGCTCCTCTTTTCCCTCTTTACTTGACTATAACGCGAGGACTGAAATCCTGAATATAATTTAGTCACGGATTTGTCTTAGCACATATCCGCTTTTATAACTTTTTTAACCAGCCACAGTCTTTTTTTATAAAATATTGCCCAGGAGCTTACTTGAGATCATCGAGCTCGTAGAAAAGCTGGCCTTTGGAGGATTCCTGGATATAGATCTTAACGTGCGGTGAGCTGAGGTACTGTGAGGTAAGTTGTGGAAAGGAGCGCAGAAATAGAGCGCGCACTGTATCGATACTGTTTACGGATGGTGGTAACAGGGCACGTTTTACCTCATCGTTTAGTTCCAAGTACACCACACCTGAAAAAACAAATAACCCAACTTAATAAAAAATTCGAAATCGAATTCGAATTCGAGATTAATATACAATTGGTTGACAAGGGAAGACTATTCAACCTTTGTTCTGACGAGTTCCAGTTATGGTAGAGTGTGGATAATGACTATATTTTGTACCACCTGTCTTTTTACCTCTTTCCGTTTTCCTCCTTCCTCCCCCTTCCCCACTCGTTCGCCCTCCCTTTGACAATTTGTCAAAGAATTAATAAAGGGTTACCGCACACCTGTCATTTGTCATGGTCACTGAACACAAGTATCAGTTCTTTGGACATTAGCCAGTTAGTTGAATCAGATTCCCTCAATAATGTCCGTAATATTTTTTGAATCTTTAAATTACCGCAAAATGCGCACCTATATTGATTAGAATGACAATATCAATACTGACATGATAATGATAACGATAGCAACGAAATTACTAAAAGTTGAGCCTATGTGGATGAATGCCTTTTGATGAAATAACGTGGGTAAGGATGGGATGATCGGTGAAGAAATAGTGATAGCGATAGCAACAAAAATAATGATATGCAGTAGGTCTTCTTTGTATGTATAATAATATGGATAACGATAATAACGGTAATCTCTTGTTGATAAAATGATAACGATAACAGAGGCAGCAAAAATAGTGATGAAGTATTTGTTCAATTTATTTTTTTGTCGATAAAATGTAGTGCTGGGAAGAACGAGTAGATAGCACCGAGCATCGGCAACGTCACTGTTTATAAAATTTACCCCTCCCTCTCTTCCTTGCAGCTCCGTTTCGCGCATTTCATCCTTTCCTTGCACTGTTTGCATAACTTTAAAAAAAACATTCGAAGTGTTAGCTGCTTTCTCCATACAGTGTTCGAGAAATGGCGGTTTTAACAGTGATGTGGTGACCGGTCTGTTTTCTGGACTTTTCCAAACAAAAACTATTTGTGCTGCGGAAAAACGTGAGGAAGGGGAGGGAG